CCGCTCGGCCTCCAAACGTCAAGCTCGAAAAGTCGATATAACGAGAAGACACGGAGTGGTGGAAGCATGAACGTGGAAACATGAGAAGCACGGAATCCCATCGGAGTGAGAAACCCCCAGTGGGACAAGGTGTATGTATGGATAGATAGATCACTTTAATTTTAAATGCCCGCTGTAATGAAAATTTGTCCCATCAAGAGCCGCCTTAATGCACCGCGCCATCGAAGTGTTCGAAATTCAGTTACATTATATCAACGTACTTTGATTCCCAGATAGAGAGTAAGACATTTCGAGGAATATAATTGCATTATCAAAAATTGTATTGTATTATCGGTAAAGAAATAACTCTAGATCGTAAAATTATCATAACAGAAATATATTTTTAGTTTTTTATAAAATCGAAAAATACTATTTCCGGAGAAAAATTGCTCTTGCACATACATTAATAAACCTTGTACCTAATAAGTTCTTTCTTTTAAAGAAAATTCTACCAATGTCCGTGCATTAAAGAAAAATGTGATAATTTTTTCCGAAACGTAAACATATTTATAATTTTTTTGTACTAACTCTGTTGCATATATTAAGTGGGTTGAGACTTGCCGTGAGTTATTCCGTTCTGGAAATAAGTATTGCTGTTGCGTCGGCACGTTAGTGACGTGATTATACTTGATGTAGCATACATAAACGTGAACCGGAGGAGAGGAGTTTCTAAATTGCTACATCGACCTGAGACTACCGCTGGAAAATTTACGAAACGCCGTATACTCGTATGCAGGCACTTGATTATCTCAAGTTTAACTAGCCACTTCATCTATCGTTAATAAAAAGAATTTCAAAATTCTATATTGAATAAAAGATGTAAAATTCTTCGCGCTATTTTCAATCGAATTAATATTAATTCTTTCAGTTCTTGTTTTTAAGAATGTTAGCATGTTAAAATCTTGGATACATTATTTTTTGAATACATCTAAGGCCCGGTTTTTCATTGTCTGGTTAACTTGTGGTTAGGCTTAACTTGATATTTTATCCAATAGGCTTCATCTATGATGATCATGAATGTCATGGAAAGCTCATTGGAAACATCAGGTTAAGCTTAACCGCAAGTTAACCAGGTAATGAAAAATCTTGTTTAAGTGATCAAACTAAATAAAATCATCGAAAAAGTAAATCTGAATGATAACATATGCAGCTCTTCATACTGACTTAAAACAATTAAAGGTTTATTTCAAAATACATATAATTACTTCTCACAATATTTAAACAAATCCCTTTACACGGATTTAACGTAAGAGAGGAAGGATTGCGTGATAATTGCAGATTCAAGTTTTAAAAAATTTACTGTAGAAAACGATTCCCGAGGTAAGGTAACAAGGATATAAATTGCAAACGGAAGGCAATCGGCCGCGATAAAATAATACGCCGCGTCGATCGGTCGAGTGGAAGAGCAGCGTGCAGAGGAGCAAAAAGAAAGCTGAAGAAACGAGAAAAGGCCACCAACTACGAGTGGCCGCACATAGGAGCCGCTCTTTGATTATCCTGCTGCTTGGTATAATAACAAGTTCATGAAGATGCGCATGCGTGCATGCTGTCGCTGTTCTCTCGTTTACGAAGAGATCTCCGAATGTGATGCACACCAACAATAAGCGTGTCGAGGAATATAATATATTTCATTTACATACTTATAGGCCCACATAGACACGAGTCGAAGGAAAACCCTTCCCATCACTTCTCTGCCATATTCATTGGCTCGCTCGCTCGCTCGGTCCTCTTTCCTTCCTCTTTCCAATCGCTCTCTTTGTTTTCAGGATCCCTTTGTTGAAGGACCATCCTCATCTCGATCTCTCCCACGCCTCGCTTTCGATCTGCCTTATCTCCGCCTTAATTCTCTTCTTTCATTTTTCTTCATTCTCGCCCGCATCTTTTCTACAACTATCTTTCGATCTTCGCGCGATCTTTCTTCTCACATCCACTTTCGTCCTAGAGTATCTTTTACATATGATGGTGGTATCTTCCTTCCAAGTAACTACAAGCGATCACTACTATAGGTAGATAGGATTCGAAGGTTAGTCTCAAGACGTCTTATTTGAAACAATGTTGTCTCTTGCGTCCCACTCGTAAATCCTCATTTCGAATCTTGACTCTCATATAAAACCCACCGCGCTGGACACCTCACCCTTTCAGCGAAACGTGTCACCTCTTTGCCATTTTTTTTCTTTTACGGGCACCATCTTTCTGAACAGATACCCAGGTTTCTTTGTTCACTTTGACTATGTTTGATATAATCTAGTCGACAGAGATTTCTCTCTCTCTCTCTTCCTCTCTCTTTCTTCTTATTAGAATTTCAATACTAATTGTATTAGGTAGGTATACAACCATAATTTATTCTTTCTTATCGACTCTTCTCTATCGTACTCGAAAAATCTGAATTTTAAGACCTTAAATTTCAGATCAGTATCATCGTTCCAGTCGAGTTTAGATCTCGAAAGATTTTCTCCCATGACTAGAGCTGCGACGCAACAATCGACAAGAACCTCCGATCTGAAGCGCGCGAGTGAATCGCTGACTCATACTTGGCAGTTCTTATCGAATGTTGCGTAACATGGTCATTCTTAATTGATCGCGATAGTGCTACCAAGCACCTAGATCTCTCCTCTTCTCGTCAGCGTCCGACAGGTGAAACACGATGGCGACGGTGGCGGGCGCGACAAAAACACACCGGGCGTTTAAGTTACATCACGATCTTCCCCGGGCGATAAATCAGACAGCCCGAAGCTGCGCGACACGCGAGTCGTAATATTTAAGTTAATGGCTCGGTATAATAAAGTTAATGGCTTCATGATAGCCATTCGAGAGACAAGCAGAACCGACTGCTGCGTGTTCGCAAGAGCCGACGAGAGCCGCGTCGTCCGCCGTAATGAATACACTTTAAGCGGTCCTCTTCTACGATGTGCAAGTGCGCCAGCAACAACGTCCAATGTCCGACGGTCCGTGTATACGCATATACTTGGTGCCAAGGCAGAGTTTTGCATGTCGGTTCGCGTGACCCGGACCACTTTCAACACTGCTTCTTGCCATTCTAGTGCGCGCGCGCGCGAGAGAGATAGAGAGAGAGAGAGAGAGAGAGAGAGAGAGAGAGAGAGAGGAGCTCGCGCTGAAGAGACTCGCCTTTATCACCTTATAAAATGAGCAACTCTCTCGCGCGCGGGCGTAAATAATGGTCGACGGCTCGAGGAAGAGACACACAACATGCTAAACGTGATACGCGTGTGCCACGGAACGAAATTGCACTCCAATCGCGGCCGACACGTCAGTTGACGATAAGATCCTTTTATTGTCCCGGAGGTGGAGAACCGAAGCACGATCGAAATTTTTGGAAACAAAATTTTATTGCCTTCCCTGGTTTTAAGTAAATGAATCGTCAAACATCAATAATAGCGTTATAAAAAGTTGTGCGTCATTTAAATGTAACATTTCTGAATTATATCTGAAAGAGAAAGAGAGAGAGAGAGAGAGAGAGAGATTTTGATGTCTCTTTCATTAATAGAACGTAAAGGGAAAGTGTAATACAAAACATAATACGCGTGCAATATTTTTTTCATTTATTTTATAAGTTATTGATATCATACGATTACATCAAGCAGATAGAGAATTGTACTTTGCGATTATATTGAAATTCAATAATGGGAACAGAATTTTTATTATTCAGAAAATTCGTTGAGAAATATAATAGTATATCATAAAAATTTTTTTCAGATTTGTTATTTTCAATAATAAAACAAATATTTATTAATAAATATGTGCCATAATATTTTTTAGGAATATCATAAGCACGTAGATCTTAGAGCCATGTTATTAAATCCCCCGTAATGCAATTCGATGCGTCATATATTTCTGCTCTTCAGATTAATTTAATGATTTTAGTACAAGGGGAGGAAAGATACGACTGAAGGATGCGGCTATAAATAAGCCACATCCGCTTATCGGGATAATTTCGAGATTGCTTCAAAAATATTATATTTTTACACATCATAATATTTGATGTAAAGATGTTCATATCATTTTTCTCTTCTTCGAATGCAAAATTTTTTAAAAATATTATCGTTGCTTAGAAAATGTAACTGTTGACACTAAATATTTTTGAGACTAAATTCCATATTACGATTAAAAAAAAAATAAAGTGAGAATGGTATGCCATTTTTAATTTAAATAGAAGGGAGAATTCTTTCTGTTATAATAATTATTTTCTCAAATGTTTATATTTGAAAAACTATCGAATCGAGATATCGAACGAAGTTATCAATTAGGGATATCGATATGATATCTGTCCAAAGATTATTCCAATTTTTGATAAATGAATATTGTTCTGCATTGTTCTACTGTAAAGTGCGTTTGTTATGGAATATTTTGGAACATGAAAGTGTAGATAATATATTAGCGTCTAGAAAGTGTATTGCGCTTATTAGGAATTTTCTATGACTGTTCATGTTCTTCAATTGTTTACATGTTTTGCTATCTATTTGTCTAATTGCTGTCAGAAATAATGACTCCATTTTTTATCTGTACGCGTGCGTTTATCTCTTTATTACTATAATTTCCTCCAAAGAATAATCGTCCTATCCTGTATTACGTTGTAAATTCTTGTAACCAACAAAATAGCACTTTCTACTAATTGTAAGATTGTATCGTATATCTCTTTCTGTCTACGTCTTCAGACTTATTTTCAACCGTGAATAATATTATTTAAAAAAAAAACATTAATCTATATACACATATAGGATGTTCCAATTAGTTACTATTAAATTAATACATATTTTAGTGAGATTCATACATATTCTCGTTAGATAGCATACATATTCTCGTGTCATTAAAGAATGCTGTAATTCTTGTTTTATATGGATAAGTGGGTTCAATTCTTCTGTTTTTTTTTTAAATTAGTTACGATCTTCTTTCATTACTTTGTACGGCTGAGTTATAAATTATTTCTTATTGTACACACTTACCTTTGATAAGCCGCAAGTGGGGTGGTGAACCAATGGCGATAATTCTTCTTCGCCACATGAGGAATCCTGTAATAAAAACTAAGTATTAATACTCGAATGTTTTCAAGGTATTCGTCGATAAATTCTACACAAATATTAATAAATATTATCATTAATAAAAATGATGTTTAATTAAAAAAAAAACAATAAGAAATATTAGTCCATAATTATTTTAAAAATTAAATATTTTTTCTTGCAAAATAATTATTTATCATGATTATTATTGTCATGTACATTATTGTAAAAATATACCGAATTTATTAAAAATATTATGTAGCATTTGTACTTTAAATTCATATTTAATTTCATTAATCGATGAAAAAATACATTTACAAACATTTTTGTATAAGACTTCTGTACACAAAATTTATTACATTTATTTCTATTACCACAATAATTTTAACTCAACAAACTTTCTTTATCTTCCTTTTCACTCTGAACAATAACATTTATTATTTTTAAATTCATGAAATTTTCATTCCGGAAAATCAGTTAATCGATGCAAAAAAATTTTTAGCATTTATTTAAAATTAATATTAAATGTATCTAAAAATTTATGTCATTTTAAATTGTATTATTTAAATTACATAATCATTTTTAGATTTTGATATACTCATTTTTCATAAAAGATATATTTAATGAACCAACATATACCTAAGCACATTATTCGTTGTTGCATTAAATTAATTAAGTATAAATCTATATTAATCTTTCACACAATTTAATGATAAAAGTTACCTGAATATCGATTATTGTCAACAAACTAAAGAAACGACAACGCCGTCGGAATCTAATGGCGTCGGTAAACATAGCGAATCACGAAGATGCTCTTATCGTTTATATATAAATATATTCACAATATTTTATTAAAACACCGTGCAAAGAACGTCAGCACACCGTGCTGTCAAAACGAAAACTGAGAACTGTTTCTCAGAACGCATTGGAGGAACATGATATAGATGAAAAGAATTAACGCAATGTCTGCGAGTCCTTGAATAGCTATTCGCTTCGCTGGACGCGGGTCGTTAAAAAAAAATTGGAGCATTGGCGGAAGGACCCTCTCTATAGAGGAGGAAAAAATTCAGTGATTTACAGCGATTTCTCAATTGTCCGTTCGGCCTTCATTCGTTTTCGCAGGAACTTTGACAATTTCCTCTGTCAGACAAGCGTCCTTTAAAATTCATGGCAAACTAAACATTTAACTTTTTACAGATTCTATACGTTGTAAAAACATGATAAAACACGATTAAGTTTAATAAAGATTATTAAATAGTTGAGTAATCTTTTTATCAGTGGTATAATCAAATAACTAAATTGTGTCATTACAATAACCAACGTCATTATATTTTATGCAGATATAATAAATTAATATTAATTTAAATTTTAAATAAACAAAACTTAAGTTTAATTCTCATTTCTCTCGGATAAGTAAAGCGCCGTCGGACAAAATGCCGACGGCAATGTGATCATACTTTGCATTTTTTTT